ATTTATTAGTTTTTTAAGTTAGGATTCAAAGTAATTGGAGACATTTTTATACATATATTTCATTAAATGTTGTTCCATGGTGTGTATGTGTGTATAGGGGTATAGTGCATGGTTGTGCATGTTCATATGTATGCCTGTGAGTGTGTGTGGAGGTCACAGGTCAAATTTGGGTATCATTCCTCAGGAGCCCTTCACCTTTTCTTTTTAAGGCTGACCATCCAGGAAGCTGCAGATATCCACCTGTCTTATAACCTCCCAAGCACTGGAATTAGAGACACCGTGCTTAGTCCCCCGTCCGCCGCCCCCCCCCCCACGCGCGCGCGCGCCAAAAAAAATTTATTTTATTTTAGAGACAGGGTTTGTGTAGCTTTGGAGCCTGTCCTGGAACTCACTCTGTAGACCAGGCTGGCCTCGAACTCACAGAGATCCTCCTCCTGGCTCTGCCTCCTAAGTCCTGGGATTAACGGCGTGTGCTATTTATTTTTATTTTATGTGCATTGGTGTTTTGCCAGCATGAGTATCTATCTGTGTGAGGGTGTCAAATCCCCTGGAACTGGAGTTACAGACAGTTGTAGCCACCATGTGGGTGCTGGGAATTGACCCTGGGTCCTTTGGAAGAGCAGTCAGTGCTCTTAACTGCTGAGCCATCTCTCCAGCCCCCAATGGTTGGCTTTTTACTTGATCGAAAAGCAAACAGTATTGAAGAAGATGCTCCATTAGCCTCTACCTTCAGTACATAAAATAACCTTTAATATATACTTATATACAGTCACATAAGAACTAGTAGATTGAAAGTGTTGCTGTGTGAGAATAGGAACAGGCCTGCAGCCCCAAAAGCAAACAAACAAAAAAATCCATGTAGTCCATAACTTCCCTTCACCTCCACTGCCACGCCCATCCTGTCATCTTGTCATCTCTAGTGAAAAGCAAGAATCATATCACGTGTCTCTGCTTCCGATCTTGCTTCATCCACAACTGTTCTTCTGATGCTGCAAAGAAAATCTGAGAAGTCAGATGCCACTCAAGCAGCCCCTTGGTCTCTTTAGAATGCTTTCTGAATTCTTTACTGCAGCTCCAAGAATCCACATACATAACCTGATCTCGCCAACCTTTACCGTCCTCTCAGCCTCACTTCAACCCAGTGTTGTTATTGTTTGAAAAATAACCCTGGACTGGAAAGATGGCTCAGTAGGTAATAGTATTTGCCACCAAGCCTAAAGACCTGAGTTCAATCCCTGGAACCACACAGTGGAAGGAGAGAACCAACTCCTGCAACTCGTCTTCTGACTTTTTTTTTTTAAAGATTTTATTTATTTATTGTGTATACAGTGTTCTGTCTGCACATATGCCTGCAGGCCAGGAGAGGGCACCAGACCTCATCACAGATGGCTGTGAGCCACCATGTAGTTGCTGGGAATTGAACTCAGGACCTCTGGAAGACCAGTCAGTACTCTTAACCTCTGAGCCATCTCTCCAGCCCTTTTTTTTTTTTTTGTTTTGTTTTGTTTTGTTTTGTTTTGTTTTTCGAGACAGGGTTTCTCTTGAACTCACAGGGATCCGCCTGGCTCTGCCTGCCAAGTGCTGGAATATTAAAGGCTTGTGCCACCACCGCCCGGCTCATCTTCTGATCTCTACTTGTGCACTGTGACATGTACATACCAACACATGTATAAAATAAACAATAAAAGTGAAAACTAAAAATAGTAGAAAGTAGCTGGGTGGTGGCGGCGGTGTACTCCTTTAATCTTAGTACTCAGTGTTTAAGTGGGGCCCCTACGGTACCATATACCCAAGGAGTCTGGAGTCTAGGATTTTTTTTATTATTATTTTTTTATTTTATTTTATTTATTTATTTATTTTTTTGGTTTTTCGAGACAGGGTTTCTCTGTGTAGCTTTGTGCCTTTCCTGGAACTCACTCTGTAGACCAGGCTGGCCTCAAACTTGCAGAGATCCGTTTGCCTCTGCCTCCCAAGTGCTGGGATTAAAGGCCGCCGCCGCTGCCACCACCACCACCCATCTAGGATGTTTATATGGAAGACCCACCTTGGCTCTACCTCTCTACCCAGACCCTGCCCCAAAGAAAGGCTGCCAAGGGTCAGCTCCTCCCCCAGGGTTGTTCAAGACCATGCCTACAGGCTATTCAAGACCTGGTCACCAGATCTGCCATGTGATTCCTCTCCTGCCTTCATAATGCGAGTTTCTTTGCTCTGTTTATTAAACCTGGATTTATTAATTAAGCCTGATCTGATTTATTGCATCGCAGAGTTACTACTAACGGGGGATATTTTTACTTATCATTCAGGAAGCCGAGGCAGACAGATCTCTGAATTTGAGACTAGCCTGGTCTATAGAGTGAGTTTCAGGGCAGCCAAGACTACACAGTGAAAACGTGTCTGGAAAAAACCAAAAAAAAAAAAAAAAAAAGGAAGGAAGGAAGAAAGAAAAAGATAAAGTGGTGATCTGTGTCTATAATCTCAGCTCTGAAGCTCTGAAAAGGCCAAAAGGGAGCATCAGTCAGTACAAGTTCGAAGCCTGCTTGGTATACATGGCAAATTCCAGGCCAGTCAAGGCTATGTAGCTTATCTAAGAAAACAAACAAGGATGTAGTAAATGCTGTGGAATGATCCTTCTTTACAATGTGTGAACATATGGCACTATGATTGTTTTTTTCTTTCTTTCTTTTTTTCTTTTCCCAGACAGGGTTTCTCTGTGTAGCTTTGTGCCTTTCCTGGAGCTCACTTGGTAGCCCAGGCTGGCCTCGAACTCACAGAGATCCGCCTGGCTCTGCCTCCCGAGTGCTGGGATTAAAGGCGTGTGCCACCACCGCCCAGCTAATTATTTTTTTTGAACAAAACCGGCTTTTGGTTTTTCAAGAGACAGGGTTTCTTTGTGTAACAGTCCTGACTATCCTGAAACTCACTTTGTAGACCAGGCTGGTTTTGAACTCACTGAGATCCACCTGCCTCTGCCTCCTGAGTGCTGGGATTTAAAGGCATGCACCACTACCACCTGGCTATGTGATTGGTTTAGTAAACAAGCTGACAGGTCAATAGCTGAACAGGATAAAGTTAGGTGGGAAAGTCAAACTGAGAATGATGGGATGAAGAAGGCAGAGTCTGGGAGATGCCTATCAGCTGCCTAGGAAGCAAGACATGCTTGAGGACAGGTAAAGCCACCAGCCATGTGGCAATACATAGTTTAATAGAAATGGGTTAATTTAAGTTATAAGAGCTAGTTAGTAACAAGCCTGAGCTATTGGCCAAGTATGTATAATTAATATAAGCCTCTGTGTGGTAATTTGGGAAATGGCTACCAGGTATTTGGAAACAGGTGGTTGAGACAGGAAATTGTTTGTAATGAAGTTTGTTTGTTCAAATGTTTGTTTTGAAATAGGGTCTGACTTTGTAGCCCAAGCTGGTCTGGAATTTACTATGAGTACCAGGCTAGCCTCAAACTCCACAGAGATCCACCTGCCTCTGTATTCCAGAGTGTTGGATTAGTGGCATGCACCACCTTTCCTGGTTAAAATAAATTTTTAGGAATTAGACTTAGGTAGTTGATAATGATCATGGAAATTTATTAATAAAGACCTAACAAGTTTAGATAAGAGATCAGATCTAACCGGACAGTTAGTCCAGTTGCTTGCCTAGTGTGCAGGACACTCTAAGACTGATTGTAGTGCTGTATAAATGGTGCATTCAAGATCATCCTCAGCTGCAGGGTTAAGTCAGACCAGCCTGGGCTACATGAAATCCTGTCTCAAAACAAACAAAAACAAAACCTCTAAACTAATTTTTTTTTAAAGATTTCTTTATTATGCATAGTGTTCTGCCACCGCAGTGTATGCCACATGCCAAAAGAGGGCACCAGATCTCATTATAGTTGGTTGTGAGCCACCATGTAGTTGCTGAGAATTGAACCTAGAAGCTCTGGAAGAGCAGCCAGTGCTTTTATCTTCTGAGCCATCTTTCCAGACCCCCCCCCCCAAAAAAAAAAAAATTGAAACTGGTTTGATGGAACTACACCTGTAATCCAAGCACAAAAAAGTGGAAGGTTCAGAAGTTCAAGGTCATCTCAGGCTACCTAGAGATTTTGAAATCAACTTGATACATAAGACCCTGTATCAAAAACAAAACAAAAAAAATAATAATAAGTGTGTGAAATCACTAAAGTCTGGCATAGTGGCCAACACCTACAATCCAAGCACTCATGAGGTAGAGGCAAGAAAGTTGCCTAGAGAGTTTGATGCTATATGCATGCCTGGTGTTCGAAGAGACCAGAGGAGGGTATCATATGCCCTGGCACTCGTGTTTCTGGCAGTTAGGAGCCCCCCAAAAGGGTACTTGGGAACAGAACCCAAGCCCTAAGCAAGAGCAGCGAGCAGGCCCTACCTTTGAGCCATTTTTCCGGCCCCCTAGTTCCTTTTTAAGATATTTATCATCCTCCCCCCCTCCCACACACACACACACACACAGTTTCTCTGTATAGCCCTGGGCTGTCTCGGAACTGGCTCTGTAGACCAGTCTGACCTTGAATTCAGAGATCTACTTATCTCTGCCTCCTAAGTGCTGGGATTAAAGGAGTAAGCCACCACCGCCCGGCAATCCTTAATCTTTTTCCTGAAGAAACCATGAGGTTTCAACTGGTTACAAGCTTTTGCCCAGGTTTAATGTGAGAAGGCCTCCAAAAGCAATTTGCAATCTCCTTACACCCGGCTCCCAGCTGTAGGACTACAGTTCCCGTGGGGCCATGTGGCAGCACCGCGAGACTTGACTCGAAAGAGGCAGCGGGAAGGCGGCCCTTGCTGCAGCTCCAGCAGTTAGGAGGGGTGGGTCCTGAGTATGGCGGATGGCTACGGTCTCGACACGGATCAGACAACACGCACGCTCTTACGGCGCGTGCTGGATGCAGCAGATTCGCGCACCCCGAGGCGACGACGGAGTGCACGTATTAAGTATGTGAGAGTGGGGAGTGGTGGCTGTACCTACCTGTCTGGAAAGGAAAATTGAGTAGGGTCCGAGACGCTGAGATCTGACTACACCCTAATCGAATCGGACTCGGCCAAGCTGTTGTACCCTCACCCGTGGAGCTCCGCAGAGACCAGCAGTGCTGGATCACTCGAAACAAAGGATAAGGCTCTGTTTTCTAGGCTGTTTCACTCAATTCCGGACCGAGGTTGTCCTGACAACGACCCCTACTTGCAGATGACTTCACCTTTCCTAACACACAGTGCTCTCTGCGGCTCCCGGGGGAGGTCAGCAGGCAGGAACTGAAAGGATGCTTTTCTAGAGACCAGGGCTTTGTCCGACTTTTCGGAGTGTCTCGAGGAGGCTTGTAGTGAGAAGGTACCGAAGCTGGCATCCGCCAGTCTGGAAGAATGCCATCCTTTTCGAGAGCAGAGATGTTCATGATAAGGTGTTTCTTTTTCCCCCATGGTACTAGTGATTGACCCCAGGGCTTTATGCCTGCTGGTTAAGCACCCTACCACCGAGCTACATCTCCAGCCCTTCTGGTATTTGAGACAGGGTCTCACGAAGTTGCCTTGGCTTGTTTTGAAACTGTAGCCCAGACAGGTTTTGAAGTTGCCCTTCTGCCTGCGCCTCCCTGGTAGCTGGGATTACAGGCTTGGTACTACCTAGTCCTTCCTCATTCAACACGTGGTATTTATGTATTCATTTACTGTTTGTGTGTGAGAGAGAGTGTGTGTGTGTATGTGTAGGTCAGAAACCTACGAAGTCAGTTCTCACCTTGCACCAATTCAGGATGTCAGGCTTGGAAGCAAGTGCATTTACCCACTGAGCATTCTGGCCAGCCCCTGGGATATGTTTTACACCTATGAGTAATGAGATGTGAGCTGTGCCGGGGAGCACTGATAAGCGTTCTGAAACACAGTGGACTGGAAAAATAGGGCTAGGGTGACCCAAGTGGAACTTAGTGTCACACCTTGACAACAACTTGAAAGGTAAAAACACTTAAATTTCCTACTTGGATTGTTACTTTAAAGCTTGGAATAGCTTACTCTCCCAATTTGTTCACTGTGACTAACCCCTGCTCATCTCTTATTACTCTGCTAGGCTCATCTCACCATCCCCACCCCATCCCCACCCAGCTAGACCAGTCATAGTCCCTGTCTGCCCATGCTCAGGGCTACCCTCATCCACTTCCTTGTTGCCAAAGCTGGAAATAGGGACTATGGGAGGTAGAAGTAGTTTCTGGGACCCTCCCCGTGAAGGGAAAAAGCTTTAAACCATGATCCCTACATCTTCTAGATCCTCACTCCCACCATGGAATTCTCAAAGCTGATTTTTGTTTTTGTTTTTGTTTTTTGTTTTTACACAGTACACAGAGAACTCTGCTTCAAACACCTTCCTCCAAGAAGCAGGGTACACCTTCCTCCAAGAAGCAGGGTACACCTTCCTCCAAGAAGCAGGCTAGCCAAACAAAAACAACTGCTAGGAGGCATTCCTATGGCACTAGGGTAAGTGTGTCCTGCCCACTCCATGAGTGACTTTATGGAACACTGAAGTCAAGTCATTTTTTTGTTTTGAAGCCTAACTTGAGGGGTTCTCAAGGCAAAAGTACAGACTGGTGGTGCTTTCACCCATAGTCAGGTGGCAGATTGGCTCATGTTCAAGCCCATGGGCACCTGGAGGAACAGACCCCCCGGACTCTGCTGAAGAACATCTTACTAACTGGTAAGTGGGTGTCTAGCCTGCCAGTTAATGTTACGTGCTAGCCCAATGCTCAGTTGTATGGTGTCCTCTGTCAGCCTTCTTTGTCAGCCCTACCCTCTCCTTCTTATTTCTACAGCCCCAGAATCGTCTATCGTGATGCCAGACTCAGTGGTGAAGCCAGTACAAGTACCAGAGATGGTGGAGTTTTCCAGACGGGAAAGCAGTCCGGGAAGGTACCCAGAGTGAAATTCCTTCATAGGCTGAGCCACCTCTTTGGGGGTCCCCAGAAACTAAAATTTGGCTTTCTGACACGTCTGAGACAAACTCCATTCTTATAGCCCGGAGCTACAACTTCCTGAACTGGAACCCCCCTCAACCCAGGCTCCAGGTCTCCCAGCCACTGGCAAAAGGAAGCAAAGGCTGAGATTGTCAGTATTTCAGCAGGAAGTGAACCAGGGGTTGCCTCTCTCCCAAGGTGAGTCCTAGGACACACCTGTGCTGTTCTGTCCCTCTTCTCTGGGGAAGCTGAAGAAACCTGAGAGAGCTTCCATGGGCCCAAGTAACTCACTATGAATTGTTCTTTTTACACTGTCTTAATGGGCGCTGACAGAGCCACCTGGGAATGCTGATGTTTCATCCTTGACCAGGTACTGTTCCCTGTTCTGGGATTTGATGGAGCAGAGGCTTGGGGGAGGGGAGTGTTGACTGATGGAGTCTTGCAACATGCTTACTGTTGGTTTTAGCCTTACAGCATGGGGGCCATATTCTAAGAGATGCGTTCCTTTGGGGAAGTGGTGTCTCAGGCTTTCTTTTGTGTCTGTTTCCATCTTAACAGCTCCTTCAACCTCAGCTTTGCCCCACCTCTTCAGTCACAGTCAATGAGGAGACCTGGTCTGGCCCGTAGACGCCCCATACGCCGACCTGTGGATGTAGGTGCTCTTTTGCAGGATCTGGAAGATAATTCCTTGACCTCAGCTCTTCCAGGTAAGGTTGAGATTTCCTCTTCTAGCTCAGGGAGAAGCTACCACTCTATGACAGACAGGAGGCACTACTGAGTTTAGGGCTGTTCCACTTTTGGTGAGGTCAAGGACACTGTATAAGCCTGACCAGGCATCTATGAGGAATTTCTGCTTTCTTTGCAAAGTGCACCTGGCACTTTGGTGTATTAGTCAGGGTTCTCTAGAGGAACAGAACTTAGAGAATGAATATGAATATAATAATATAATGGATTATATATGTATGTGATTTGTTAAAATGGCTTATAGGCTGTGTGGTCCAGCTAGCCAGCAATGGCTTTTACCAGTGGAAGATCCAAGAATCCAGTAGTTTGTTAAGTCCACAAGGCTGGATGTCTCGGCTGGCTTTCATATATGAATGCTGAGAAACTCAAGAAAGTAGGCTCCATTGCCAGTGAAGGAATGGATGCTGTGTGTGTGTGTGTGTGTGTGTGTGTGTGTGTGTGTGTGTGTGAGAGAGAGAGAGAGAGAGAGAGAGAGAGAGAGAGAGAGAGAGAGAGAATAAACAGGCAAAGAGAGTAAGCTTCCTTCTTCCATGTCCTTTATCTAGGCTGCCAGTGTGGCCCAGATTAAAAGTGTATCTTCCTACTTCAAAGATCTGGATTAGAAGTGGGTCTTCCCATGTCACATGATTTAATTAAGAAAAAAAATCCTCACAGGTGTGCTCAGTCATTTGGGTTTTAGTTAATTCCAGATGTAGTTAAGCTGATAACCAAGAACAGCCATCATAGCTAGGCTTGGGAGCCTCCCAGAAACTTGGGAGGCAGAGGCAGGTGGATCTCTGTGAGTTTGAGGCCAGCCTGGTCTATGGAGAGAGACCCTTCTCAAAAACAAACAAACAAATAGCTAGGTGGTGGTGGTGCATGCCATTAATCCCAGCACTCAGGAGGCAGAGGCAGGCAGATCTGAGTTCGAATCCAGCCTGGTCTACAGAGTGAGCTCCAGGACAGCTAAGGCTACACAGAGAAAAAAAAAAAAAAAGAAAAAAAGACTAGCCTAGCCTTAGTGTCTGTGTATTTATTGAACTATAGGGCTGAGGGTGGAAGGAAAGGGGCATACTGTGGTGGCTAGAGCTTGTTAGAAAGACAGGTTCCGTGGTGAGTTAGCACTAAGCTGGATCCTGATTCCAGAGGACAAGTTCACTACGCTCGAGTCAAGTCCTGAGCAGAGGAAGAAGTGGACAGCTGAGGCCTAAGTAAGTGGTTTTGCAGGGGCGGAAGCGAGTAAGAGAGGCCTGGGAACGTCAGAGGAAGGACCAGGAGAAGTAGCAGGAAGGGCAATGGAAGATAAAAGGCTTAAAATGAAGGTTGTCTCTCATTCTGGAGGTCACTTAGAGAAGACCCTTACACCTCACTGCCTGCACCCTGACAGCCCCAGGTATTAGCAGGTGGGCCTCAAATACCCATTTCTCTGGCTCTTGGTCTCTAGGTGACACCCACAGAACCTCTGTTGCCACTCTGCCAACGGACGTAGTGCTGGAAGACACCCAGCCTTTCTCGCAGCCCTCGGGTGGCTGCTCCCTCAGAGCGCATCACTCTCTGCCCACCCATTCTCACCCTGGGGTTGAAGGTGCTCAAAGAGTCGTGGACTGTGGGACACAAAGCCCTGGGACCGGGCTGCAGAAGCATAGTGAGTATGAGGGGCAGCTGGCTGGGAGCCAGGCTTAGTTAGCCTGGGGGAGAGTGAGCATAGGGCGAGTTCCCTCCTCCAGCCCATATGTGTGCCCCAGAACCCCTGCCTAGGAGTTGGTCCTCACCCCGGAGCAGAATCGGGTTGGCCGGGAGACCCTCAGTCACTGCTGTACTGCTGCCCCAGCTTGTTCCCCCCTCAGGGAGCAGCACCAGCTTTGGTTCTGCTCCTCCACCCCTCCTGGAGCCACAGCCTCAGCCTCCAGAACTAAGAGAAGCCGTAGGATCCCAGGAGACTGTGGAGGCCAAGGAGCAAGAGGGCTCTTCGGGGGATGAGGAGACTCCTGGAAGGCCAGGTAAGAGGCCTAATGTAGGCATCAGCAGGTTAATGTCACTAGCTTGTTAGGTCTTAGCATACAGCAGAAAATTTGCCTGGGCTGTTTCTGGGAACTGGTAGTTTGAGAGACCAGGCAGAGTATAAGGGGCAATCACTTGTCTAGAGCTCTAGGAGGCCCTTAAGAATTAAGAAAGGAAGCTGGGTGGTGGAGCACACCTTTAATCCCAGCACTCCGAAGGCAGAGGCAGGTGGATCTCTGAGTTTGAGGTCAGCCTGGTCTACAGAGTGAGTTTCAAGACAGCGAGAGCTACACAGAGAAACACTGTGAGAGAGAGAGAGAGAGAGAGAGAGAGAGAGAGAGAGAGAGAGAGAGAAGAAAGAGACTAGACCTGTGCAGCTGTGTGAGATGGTCAAGCGGGAACCCCTCGTGACACTCTTCTTTCTTTTCAGCAAGTCCAGAGTTAGCCTCCAACGCCTATGACTTACTCCAGGCCGAGCAGCCACACCAGCTTCTTGAGTCCCCCCCACCACCTGGAGTTGCACTGTAAGAAACCCTTGTTGTTGGGAAGGAGATGACATTGTACACATTTAAGTTCCCATAGATACGCAGATGATTGCCAAGCATAGCAGTTCAAGCCTGACAGCTTGCTTCTCCGTTATCCTGGTGTCTGTCTCCAGGAGTTTAGAGGAGCCTGGGTGAGGGAGAAGCTCCTAGGTCAGTATGTAATCCTAGAAGGTTTCCTGAAGGACATTAGCAGACTTGGCACAGGCAGTGATGGATTCCTGATGGGAGAGACTATCCAATCTGAGACCTGAGGTTCAACAAGCTTGGGCAGGTACCTGCATCTATGTTGAAGCTAGTCTAGGATAGTGGATCAGGGTCACAGGGAAAGAACAGGTTGTTTGTTTGTTTGTCTGTTTAAGACAGGGTTTCTCTGTGTAGCCCTGGCTATCCTGGAACTTGCTCTGTAGCCCAGGCTGGCCTCGAACTCACAGAGATCCGCCTGCCTCTGCCTCCTGAGTGCTGGGATTAAATTTGTAAGCCATCACCACCTCCCCCACCCCATCCCGCCTTTGGCTGATAGTTGAGTTTCTTGTTCAATCTCCTTAATGAACAACAGTCCCAGATTCAGCGGAGCTAGCAGGACTTGTCTTAAAATTCAGAGCCTTCCCAAACAGCAGTTCAGTTACCTCCGTCTGCTCCTGTCCTTAGTTCAGAGCCTCTGGAGTCTGTGCCAGCCAGGCTTCCTTCCAGGAAGAGAACTGCAGGTCCTAGGCACCGCCAAGACCCCTACAAGGCTGGACTGCACTACTACATGAAGCTCTTCAGCTTCTATACTAAGATGCCTGTGGAGAAGAAGGCACTCGGGATGGTGGAGAAGTGGTGAGTCTAGCATGTGAGGGGGCAGAAGTAAAACTCACATAAACACACTGCTCACCCTGCTCCGTCCCAACCTTCTTGGCAGCCTAGACAAGTATTTCCAGCACCTTTGCAGTGACCTGGAGGTGTTTTCTGCTCATGCTGGCCGTAAGACTGTGAAGCTAGAGGATTTAGAGCTGCTGTTGCGACGGTAAGTGGGCATAAAGGGAGGCTGAGCGTGGGGGTGCTGGTGCTGACTAGGTCTGACCTTCCTGTCCTCTGATACAGGCAGGGACTAGTCACGGATCAAGTCTCGCTGCACGTGCTTGTGGAGCGGTACCTGCCCTTAGAGTACCGGCAGCTTCTCATCCCCTGTGCATTCAGCGGCAATTCTGTCTTCCCTGCCCAGTAGTGGCCAGGCTTGGACCCACATAATTATCAAGGTCTCTTTCTCATCTCCTAGTCCCAATAAAGTCTCACAAATGGGTTTTTCTGCTTTTTGGTGCATGTCTTAGGGTCTGCCCAGATCCTCTTACCCCATACCCCAACACTTGACTTTCCAGCCAGCCTGGAAGATATAAATTTAGATAAATAATTTTATACTGGAAGTTTAGCAACACTGGAGTACTTAAGTTCCCCATGAGGTCTCTAGCTTGTTGGCTCTGGCTCTCCTCGCGGTCCTACACGCTTGATGTCTGCTATCTGAAGCCGTTCAATCGCAGTCTCGAGTTTTACTACAATTTCCTCCTGCTTCTCATCATCCTCCAAGGGCAGTTCTGCCACAGGGAGCTGGAAGGCCTGGCTCAGGTAGGTGCTCAGCGTCTGCTTGTCCAGGCTGGGATCGATGTTCATCAGGGCCCCACGCATCTTCAGTAGGTTCACCTCATCGGGGCTGCCCCACAGGGAAAGAAAGACAGGTTTAGAGGCTTGAGCCCTTCTCTTTGGACTCTGACTGTGAGGTACCCACTTTTCTGTCCGGTTTGAGTAGTTTATAGTACCCAGCATCGTGCCCATTGCATAGGGAGACTCTGGCACCCGAGATGCTATCTGACAGGGACTTGCCAATGGCTGGGCAGGACTCTGGGGCCCGGGGTCACTCACAGCTCTAGGTCCAGATCCTGCTTCAGTTCTTGTAAGTATGCCTCCTTCTCACTGTCGTACTGTTCCCGCAGCTTTTGCACAAACGGCTCACTCTGACCCTCCTCATCCTGGAGTGGGATGAGGGAGAAGGCAGGGTGAGGCCATATTGACTGTAGTTTAAGCACCAGGGAAGGGAGTGGCAAGTTATGTGTCTCCACCCACCTCAGTAAACAATATTCGGTAGCTGAACACTTCTGTACTGCTGTTGTCTGGACCCCAGCCTGCTGCCTCCATTAGCTCCTGAATTTGTTCTTCCTTCTTGAGAGGAAAGGCATTCTTGAGGATGTTGCTATAGGAAGATAAGAATTCCAACAGGGCCTGACTGATTGAGGCTGTCTAACTGGGCCATCCCCACTAGTATTTCCACAGGCATTTATTTATATCTTATGTATGAGGGTTTTTCCTGGAGCTGAGGACCGAACCCAGGGCCTTGCACTTGCTAGGCAAGTGCTCTACCACTGAGCTAAATCCTCAACCCTGAGTATGAGTTGTTTATGTATTTACGTATGAATATATACCTGCATGCTAGAAGAGGGCATCATATCCTGTTATAGATGGCTGTGAGCCACCATGTGGTTGCTGGGAACTGAACTCGGGACCTCTGGAAGAGCAGCCAGTGCTCTTAACCTCTGAGCCATCTCTCCAGCCCTCCACAGGTTTTTTGTTTTTGGAGTCTTTGAACTCAGTGATCCTCTGGGCTTAGTCTCCCAAACTTTTTTTGTTTTGCCTTTTTTTTTAAAATTGGTTTTTTGAGAAAGGGTCTTTCTATGTCAATCTGGTTGGCCTGAAACTCACTCTGTAGACCAGCCTGGCCTCGAAATTACAGAGATCCTCCAGCCTCTGCCTCCCAAGTGCTGGAATTAAAGGCCTACACTACCATGCCTGGCATGTTTTGAACAATTTTGTTCTAGGCTGGCCTAGAATTAAATGACTTCCCTGCTTTTATCTCTCAAGTGCTAGAATTCCAGGCATGTCCCACCATAGCCAGTGAGGACAGGAGATTTTGAGGCTGTGGCCCTTCCTGTGAGGCTCCCCCTTTTCCTGCATACCTGAGAACCTGACCAGCCAAGATAATGGAGTAGAGTTTGAAGTGGCCTGACTGGCCTCTTACCAGAATTGCTCCATGGATATTAACCCCTCATTCTGAGTGTCAGCATTTGCCATCTCCTTCTGCAGATGGGACAGTGTCTCCATTTGGTTGACATATACACTCTCCAGCTTCTACAACGAGGGGAGCAGTTACTAATATGCTGCTTACTAGAGTGAAGGGACAGAGCCATTGTGCTGGGGACAAAAGCCATTTCTACTTGGCTAGGGTAACCGGTAGGGCCTAGGCCAAAGCTCACCTTGCCTATCAAGACTGCATAGAACTGACTCATGATCTCATTGGAGTGAAAGAGCTTGATACTTTCAAAAATGGTGTAAGCCCAGGCTATGGCATCATTGGTCCCAAAGCGACGCTCCAGAAAGTTGAAGAAGAAATCTGGGAATGACTCTTTCTGTAGGGTGAGAATATTTGGTTAGTATGTCCTGGGCTTGCTTAGCCCCCACCCTGCTCCCTACCACCTTGAGGGAACTCCTTAAAAGACCCTGAATCTGAAGGCTACACAGAGGCAATTTATAACCCGTGAGAGCTGACCTGCTCCTCTGCAATACGTTCCTTCCAGGCATCTACAAGAAGATTTACCACCTCCTTCTTGCTCGGCTTCTTGTTCTCCACAGGGCCATCAAACCGAAGGAAAGCAGGGACAGATTCCCCAAAGCCCTGAAAAGTGGGTGTCAGCTCACAACTGGACCCTTCTGTTGCCCTGTGTCTACACAAGAAAGAGCCCCAGATAGTTCCCCCATAATCTTAAGGGACCTCTGGCTCAGGGATTCTCTTACCAGACCAGGGAAGAAGTCTTTCTCCCGAAGCAGACCACTGCCAATCTCCTCCAGCAACACATCCACCAGCTGGTCACTGTTCTTTCCTTCGGCCAGCATTAGCCAGCGTTCTGCACCCCCTGATATGATGCCTGCCGGTGGGGAGAGGAAGCTAGAACCCAGGCCATGTCCTTCAGCAGGCCCTGGGGCCCTTGCAACCATCGTTACCTTCGCATTTGGTCCAGTCAGGTCGAGGGGTGGAGGTGCGATGGATCTCCTCTAGCTCATGATGGAACTGGTCCCGCTCCTTCAGTGTGGTCATGTGCAACTGCAGCAGTAACTCGTGTTCCTTTCGGACCTCTTCATAGTCAGCTCTCAGACTTTCCAGCTATAGGCAAAGTGATTGGTCCTAGCTACCCACTTGCCTGACCATACCCTACCATATCAAACCCTACCTGCCCACCAGCACCTGCTCTTGAAGTTCCATGTTGATCTTCTCCTGCCTTTCAAAGTCTCTCCTGGGTACCACATCTCCAAAGTTGGCTTTCATGGTGTTGAGTTCCATCTGAGTGCGGGTCAGGTCTTGTCGAGTCATCTTCAGTGCCAGCGTTAGCTTCACAGGATCCTCTCCCCAAACACCTGCCAGGGGCCCACCAGTCTGTCATCTTGGCTCTGGGGTTTGTACCCAGGGTTGGGTTAAATAGTGCTTGGGGCATGCTCTCTGTATGAGTAGACTGGCTCCCACAGGCTCATATGTTTGAACACTTGGTCCCCAGTTGGTGAAACTGTTTGAGAAGGATTAAGAGGTGTGGCCTTGGAGGAGGTGCATCATTGGGGGCAGCCTTGAGTTTCAAAAGACTCAAGGCTCACTGCCATTCCCACTGTGTTCTCTGCTTCCCGATTATGAATCCATGTGTGAACTATCCGCTGCTGCTCTATACCATGCTTGCCTGTCTACTGCTAGCGCTCCCTGCCACGATGATAGACTAATATCCTTTTGGAACACTAAGAGCCAAAGAAATTCTTCTAGCTGAGCGGTGGTGTCCCACACCTTTAATCCCAGCACTTGGAAGGCAGAGGCAGTTGGATCTCTGAGTTCGAGGCCAGACTGGTCTACAGAGTCCAGGATGGCCAGGACTACAGAGAAAAACCTGTCTCAAAAAGCCAAAAAAGAAAAAGAGAGAGAGAGAAATCCATCCTTCTATAAGTTGCCTTAGTCACTGTTTCATCATTAATGTACCTTCTCTGCTTGGGATTCTTTGGGTTTACAGCCTCTCTACCTTAAGTAGAGAAGCCCAGGGCATGTGGTACCAGGCTTCACTTGCCCACAGTCTCAGCTTCCAGCAGTGTTAAAGTAAAAAAGATACTAGGAATGTAAATGGTGACTGAGAGACTTCAGGACCTCGGGAGAGAAACCCGGCTTGGATTACCTGGGGACTGGGCTAGTGACATGTCTTCTCGCTGGTATCGCAGCTCATTCAGGTCCCCAATAAGAATCTTGCGGGCATCTCGCTCGGTAAGGTAGCGAAGGTATTCCTCAGCCAAGCTCTTCCTCAGTTTAGTCACCTGCAGGGGTGAAGCAGGAGGGATATGACAGTGCCTCTTGGTCACCACAGGGCTGTGATTGCTGCTTAGTAGTCCCTGAGTTTAGGAAAAGGACAGTGGTCATGCCTGAGAACCTAGCAAGAAGCCCATGCTTCAACCCATGGAGAGTTTGCTGGCACTTGGAGCCACGCTGGAGTCTATGCTGAGCACTGCAGCAGGGCACAGTAAGATAGCTCAGGGGCTCTTGGGGTGGTGATGGCCCTCCATTCAGGCAGATAGGGATAGCCTCAGTACTCATGAACACACAAGGCTACAGGTAGAGCAGGAACTTGGGGACCTTGGCAGCATTACCACCTCCATTCATTCACCTCACTCTGCAAGGAGATCTTCTCTTCATTCTTTTTATCAATGAGTTTTAGCAAATTCATCTTCTCTTTCTTGAGCAAGGAGATTTCATACTTCTCCTCAGCCCTCATGGCCAGGATCCTCTCACTGCAGTCCTCGTTCATACTGACGATCTTGGCCTTCAGGGGCTCCAGGGACCGAATTTTCTCCCTTTGGTGGGCTAAGCAAAGACAGGTGCGCTGGGGGGTAGCGCACACACCTCTAATCCCAGCACTCAGGAGGCAGAGGCCAGGAGGATCTCTGAATGTGAGGCCAGCCTGGTCTACAACTGGAGCTCCAGTACAGCCAGGGCTACATAGAGAGACCCTCTCTCAAAAAAACAAATTAAAAAAAGACAATAAAATAAAAAATAAAAAAGCCCTTTGGGAGGCCACAGAGAATAAACAGCCAGGAGTCACAGATCCTAAGGTCACTGGGTGTTTTGCCTACATACGTATCTGTGAGACCTGTGTGTGCCTGGTACCTGCAGAGACCGGAAGAGGAGGTCAGATCCCCTGGAAATGGAGTTACAGATGTTTGTTAACGAGCATGTGGAT